GTTTACAATCATTTAAATTGCTCATTGAATGAATCAACTTAATGGTTGATCAATTTAATCATCTTGATCCTGATAATCTGAAACCTTAATGTTGTTGCTGATTTGATGTTGAATTTTTTTTCTGGCCAATCAAATTAAATTAATCTCTGTATCTTGTGTCATATTGAGGTCAAATTATGATTGAGATTATGATTAAGGTGATCATCTTGATTGTGATCCATTGATTAATATTATTATTACAATTAATGTTATCAGATTGTTATGATTATCATTGGGTGTGCCCAAAGGTGTAAACTGACCAAGTGATCAAAATAATAATAACAATAAATTGTAGTTAACAAATTAGTGGTGAAAATAAACTAATACCAACAATTAAATTAAATCCAGAAATTAAGTATTACAAACAAATAAGACACATTATTGTTTTGATGATTTACTTTTGAGATTGATTCATAATCAACTTGATTATCGGTTTACAATTTAGATGAAACCAGAAACAAAATGAACGATCAACAATTTAAAAGGCAAAACAATCAACCCTAAACAATTGATTGGATTTAAATTGTTTGAATGAATTGTTTAATAGTAATTCACAATCAAAGATGCAAACTTGCTTGATTACCATGATTAACTATTACAATTATTGTATCATATTATTTTTATATATAATATAAAGATTAAGGTTCAAATTGATCTGATTAATTGTAGTTGATTATCTGAATATTGTTACAATTTACTTTTAATCATCATCATCACCATGATCAACATCTTAATCATTGTGATTTGGATATTAAATTACCACACCTTATAAATTATAATTTAAATTGTTAATTATCTTTTGAATTGATTAAATATTTTTATTTTTTTACTCTTTCTTTTGATTAATTGTAACCGGAAGAAGCTCCTGTAAGTTAATTGTAATTATCACTAAATAAATACATGAATTAATCATTCTGGTGGACTAAATATCTAATCAATTAATTGATTTCTCAATGAATCTTTAATTGTTTCTCTTTAAATTGTAAAATTAAAGGTTATAGTAGATTAGTTTGATCAATTGTAATTAGTAATTAATAGAGTGGGTTGATTTATTATGATTAAGATTTCACTGATTAATTGGTTGATCATTATGCTCATTGCCATTATCAATACAATTCAGGTTAATTGTTGTCCCTTTGGTTATAATCAGGAACATGATTAACTTAATTTTGATTACTTTTTTACTTTAATTGTTTCCATTTAAATGTAACCATCATTAAGCAATTGAATAGTTTTTTATTTAATCGATTAACTAAATCAGTTACAATTTAATTGCACAATTAAAAGTTTACATGACCACAATTAATATTGTTTCCAGGTAACAATTTATTAATTCATTGATTAACTAATATTTTACAAAGTATTAGATTGATGATGTTAACAGATCATCAAAATTAATTGTAAATCTTTTTTTTCAACAATCAATTTAAATTGTTACCAATATATTAGGTCACATGTTATTGTTTGTTACTATTTTTAAAGTCTAATTGTTGTAACATTATGATTAAATTGTTATCAACTTTTCATTACAATTATTATAACGGTAAACTTACAATAGATGAAGAAAAATAGTTTAATTGAAAAACATGATTAACTTAATTCCCTATTACATTGAAGTTAATTGTTTACAATTTGATTAACTATTACTACAGGAAGAAATGAAAATCTCAACGAAATTAATATCTCACCATTTTAACAACAATTTAATATTGTAATTACAGTTAAATTGTTACAATTGTCACAATTAGTGTGTATTTTGGGTTAAATCGTGATAAGTTTTTTTTCCTGGAAAAAAATAAATTGTTATTATCTCTTATGGACATGATTAGATTCATCAAATTAATTGATTTTCTTTGAATCATTCAAAGCATCATTTCCGTTTCCTGTTTTCTTGTTGAAAAAGTTATTCTAAAGAAAAGGATTTACAATTGAAAGTTATTTATGGCTAATTAAACACAAGATTTTCGTGTTTGATTAGTTAATTACATCAATTAATGATCATGTTTAATTCAATTAAATAGCTAAATATTATTTAATTGCTTTGACGATAATCCAATTGATTGATTTGGTTTCATTTAATTGATGAATTTTTATTGCGCTTTTTGTGAATTGATTGATTATCATTGGTTTAACTCTCATAAATTCAAAATTTAATTAACCTAAGAAAGTGATTAAGATTATGATTAACCATTGATCAATATACTAACCGCTTATTGTTAACAAATCAACAATTACTTAATTGTGCCAATGATTAACTGAAAAGTATAATGAATAATAATAATAATTTGAATCTTTCTAAAAGTTCAACAATCAACCCGGTCAACTCTAAATGGTAAACAATTAGACTTTCATTTTACAATTAAACTAATTGTTCACCAATCTTAATCATCTTTACCTATTTAATTATTGAGCTTTAATGTTACGATCTCAAGCAAGATAATTAAGATAACTATTAATCATCTAATCAAAATAATGATGAGGAAATAGTAGAAAGTGAAAACAATGATTATCAATAAATCACTGATAAAATCAATTCTAATTGTTTACAATCAAATGCCAACGAATTGAACATTTCGATCAATCAATTATCGAGTTAGAACTTTTTTTTCACCTTTCGAAAAATATTCTAGATACAAAATAATGGAACAATTAAAGATGATCAAGCTAATTAAACTACTGGAGTGATAATAAATATATTCCCTTAAATAATGTTACCCTGAAACTAACAACAATTAAATGGATTCAACAATCAATCGTTGAACAATCAACCAAATAGTTAACTTATATTGCTGAGAAACTTTAACAAACTTTTCTCATCATCATCTTCCTATTAATGGACTTTTTTGCTGGTTAATTGTTTCAAGAACTTTATTGAATCATCATCATCAAGTTAATCATCATTTTCACCTTGATTGTGATCAAATTTCCGTTGATTTTGTTTTCGATTGGAGTGAGAAAAAAAAACTTTACAGTTAATCACAACAATTAAACATATCGCTCATAAAACAAAAGTAACATTATCAATACCAATTGACCAGTAAAACAATCACGATACAACCTTCATCTTAATCATCAATCTAATCACTTTTAATCATCAACAATTATAATTTTATTATTAGATTTGATTGTTAATTGTTTGATAGGCTCGGCGATGGTCAAATGACCTTGTCATTGGCTAACAGTTGATTAAATTGTACAAGAAAAAAGGGAAAAAAAAGTTTTTTGGTAATTAACTTTAATCATCATTACAATTAAGCTGATTTAGTGTATGGAAAAATTGAATCACAACAAGGTTAACAATTTGTTAATTCACTTTTTTGATTGTGAGATGCGACGGAGCAACAATTAACTCTAATTGCAATCAATAGTGAATAGAAAACTTTGACAATTGTGAACATTTCTTTTCCCTATCATCACCAATTAGTTAATTGTAATTAACTTTTAATTTCTTTACAAACTTTACCTTGAATATTTATTTAGGATTTACAGTAATAATATTTAATTTAGTTACAACAATTTACTTATTATATAACAATTAGCATATTGATTGTTTCAGTCTCGTAACAGTTAATAAATTACTGACCAATAGGTTGACCATTTACTACAATCAGTTGATCACCTTGACATTTAACTATCTAAATGATAATCACCTTGAACATAATGTATAATTATTATTGTCAATTTGTTTTCTTAATTGTTGTTGATAACCACAATCAAATATCACAATTGTCTTCACCTAATCACAATTAAGCTTCCCGTTGGTTATAAAATATTTCAATAGCTAATTGTTAACAATTTAATCCTTATCCTAATCAATTAACATTATGATACCTTCTTCCGTGTAGATATTGATTTAATCATGATTAAGATTATGATGATGATCAAGTTAATCAATTAAATCAAGATCATTATCAATTGAGGACAAATTAAGATGAGGATAAAAACTTTGATCACTTTCACTAACTAACGATATTCTGATGTTTAATATTTAATTGCGTGCTGATTGTATTTCCTTTAACCATAATCTTAATCATCTTCAAATGATTAACTATTAACTTGTTGCAAAAATTAATATAAACTTAAATTGCTAAATAATTTAAAGGTTAACAATCAACTGCAACAACATAATCAATAATCAGCTCATCCTCTATCGTGATTAACATTAATTAATTAAATCAGAAACTTTTCAATATTTTACAATTTAATTGTTCACATAATTTATCAATATAAACATAATCATGAAATCAAATCATCTAACGATTAACTAATCATGATTAATTATCCAAGGAAAATAATTGGTTATATTAGTTACAATTTCCAGCTGATCAGCAATTAAGAAAACTCAATGAATCCATGAATTAGTTAATTATGTTAGTTAACTGATAATTGTATTGGTAACAATTAAATCTGTCTCTTAACGATCATCATTATAATCATCGTTAGTTAATTATGATTATGATTGTTGGAACAGAGATCGAAACAATCACAATTAATTAGATTGTGTCTCTTTTTTCTGGAGCGAAAATTTTTCTCGACAATTATTGATCTTAATTGTTTACATGATGATCAAAGTGATAACATAATTGTCGACAAATAATCCAATTTAATTGTCAATCAAGAAACAAAGAAAAAAAATTAAAGAACATCAATCAAATGGTAATTAAAAGACGAACCCTCAACTCTTTGTTTACATTTTTTTTTCATTTTTTGTTTTCTTTTTCATATTTAATTGTATTAATTGTTTAATTATCCATTTTTTACATTTCAACAATTAAACAATTTGAAACAATTTCCTATCTCATTGTAAATCTTTGGTGTTAGTGTGTTAATGAATTCAACTGATAATCTCATTCTTTTGGCATCATATTCATTTGTTTACATAATAACAATTGAATCAATAATCTGCTCTCTATATTTCATCAACTATTAATGAATCAATTGTATTTTATTTTATTCTTTATCATCTCTATCATCATCTCTGTGTGTATATTTGTTTCAATTCATTCGAATAGTTAATGAGAACAGAATATTTTCATTCTTTTCTTTTTTAAACAAAAAAAAAGAATAGAAAAAAATAGTTACTTTTGTTAATCGAATCTAATCTTGTTTTCTGTTTTTTGTTTTGTTTTTCTCTTCTATTACATGAAATCAACTCTACCATGGGAAATATCTAATAAGTTTGTTATGTTTCAATTTCCATGTATTTATCGTTAAAATGGAAGAAATGTTTACATATCAACATTCGAACTTATTATATGAAATACTAATATTGATTCGTATTTCTGTTAACATGGAACAAATTAGCTAAATGTACTGTTATTTTCCCTTTTTTTGTTGTATCCTTTTCAAGTGGAGATTGATCTCATTTCTTGAAAGGTTAATCCAAGGGTAGAGACTCAAATCTCTGGTTCTTGCGAAGATAAAATTAGTCTACTCGGTAATCTCCTTCTAATTTGAGTCAAACCCTTGGATTGATCAATTTTGATCGGTTTCAAGATGAGAATCCTTACATGTTGAATAATTGGTTTGATTGACAAACACAACGGTTGGTGATGAGTGATTCCATCATGTATCCAATACAAAGAGAGAAAAAAAATACAAAAACTCATGTTGATCCTTGTGAAGAGGATCCTTAACACCTTCAACTTATGATAGAATTTTTTTTTCTTGTTCTCTTCTCTTCTCTTATTGATCACTCAACGGTATCCATCAATTTAAAATCCTTCATGTTTCCTTGTTTTCCTCTATAAAGTTGTTCGTTTTGTTCTCCTTCTTTTCTATTAAGTTTTATTTTGGCTCCAAGACGAAGAAATAAACTCAAGTAGATTTAGTTGCTATTCCAATTGTTTGAAGAGTCCACACAGTTATAATTCGACCAATGGCCGTGACCGAGAATTTGTATTCTCAATGTCCTGTGGTAGTAGAAGATGAAAGATGATCCAAGTCTTAGAACAAAAGCACATCATCTAATTACAAATGAGAGAGAAAACAGACAAAGGAAACGAAAGAAAGAGAAAGTGTCAAGAAAACCAGAAGATAGAATATAGAAAGATCTAGATCTTCTCCTTGGAAGACCAGAAGAGAAAAAGGAAAACAAAGAAATTACATGGATGAAGATTATGATGGAAGACAAAAATTATGGAATAGAATAGAACAAATTATGTTCGCCTTAATTTCTCCATGATGGCCAAAAATTTTCTCTCCACAACCTTCACCCTTTAATTCACCTTGAAGTTGAAATAAAAATCAAAAGGAACGGACATTTGAGTAGAAATAAAAAACCAATAAAACAAAATGTGACAAGGATAAAAAAATTATCTTATAAATTACTTTACCTGTACAATGAAAAGATGAACAAGTCCACCGGTCAAACATCTACATAGATTACATGACGAGAAGAGAGAGAGAGAGAGAAAACGAAAAAAGATCCATATCAATGGTCATAATCAATGGAAAATAATGATGATGGTGGTGATGGTCAGTCTAAGGTTAACCGGGTTAATCTTTAAAGCCAAAAACCATGCGGAGAATCTGTTGATAAACGATTAAGAGAAAGAAAGTTAATAGTTAACAATCAACTTATAATTTAGAAGAAGAAGAAAAAAACATAAACACAACAGGTAAGAACCTGAAAGAAAAATACACATAGAATTAAGTAAAAGAACTTACCTATTTTCTTCCTTATCATCATCATCTCTTTTCTTTACTCTCTCTCTCTTTGGGTCGTTTGTTGTCTATCGATAAAAGACCTTAGGCCTTTTCTCATGACTTAACATTCCAGGGCTTTTACAAATTCTCTCTCACCAAACCCAGAAAAAGAGAAAACGTTGTAAATTTGTTTGTCTCCATTTTCCCTCCAATAGAAAAGTAAAGTCTATTTTCTGGGCTCTTCGTTTTTTTCTATTCTCTTTTATTTTTGTTCTTCTCTCTTTTTTTCTTTCTATAAGTTAACCCGTATTTTATTTTTCTCTTTCTTTTCTCTGTCTATTTTCTCTTCTCTTCTCTTATTGATCACTCAACGGTATCCATCAATTTAAAATCCTTCATGTTTCCTTGTTTTCCTCTATAAAGTTGTTCGTTTTGTTCTCCTTCTTTTCTATTAAGTTTTATTTTGGCTCCAAGACGAAGAAATAAACTCAAGTAGATTTTGTTGCTATTCCAATTGTTTGAAGAGTCCACACAGTTATAATTCGACCAATGGCCGTGACCGAGAATTTGTATTCTCAATGTCCTGTGGTAGTAGAAGATGAAAGATGATCCAAGTCTTAGAACAAAAGCACATCATCTAATTACAAATGAGAGAGAAAACAGACAAAGGAAACGAAAGAAAGAGAAAGTGTCAAGAAAACCAGAAGATAGAATATAGAAAGATCTAGATCTTCTCCTTGGAAGACCAGAAGAGAAAAAGGAAAACAAAGAAATTACATGGATGAAGATTATGATGGAAGACAAAAATTATGGAATAGAATAGAACAAATTATGTTCGCCTTAATTTCTCCATGATGGCCAAAAATTTTCTCTCCACAACCTTCACCCTTTAATTCACCTTGAAGTTGAAATAAAAATCAAAAGGAACGGACATTTGAGTAGAAATAAAAAACCAATAAAACAAAATGTGACAAGGATAAAAAAATTATCTTATAAATTACTTTACCTGTACAATGAAAAGATGAACAAGTCCACCGGTCAAACATCTACATAGATTACATGACGAGAGAGAGAGAGAGAGAAAACGAAAAAAGATCCATATCAATGGTCATAATCAATGGAAAATAATGATGATGGTGGTGATGGTCAGTCTAAGGTTAACCGGGTTAATCTTTAAAGCCAAAAACCATGCGGAGAATCTGTTGATAAACGATTAAGAGAAAGAAAGTTAATAGTTAACAATCAACTTATAATTTAGAAGAAGAAGAAAAAAACATAAACACAACAGGTAAGAACCTGAAAGAAAAATACACATAGAATTAAGTAAAAGAACTTACCTATTTTCTTCCTTATCATCATCATCTCTTTTCTTTACTCTCTCTCTCTCTTTGGGTCGTTTGTTGTCTATCGATAAAAGACCTTAGGCCTTTTCTCATGACTTAACATTCCAGGGCTTTTACAAATTCTCTCTCACCAAACCCAGAAAAAGAGAAAACGTTGTAAATTTGTTTGTCTCCATTTTCCCTCCAATAGAAAAGTAAAGTCTATTTTCTGGGCTCTTCGTTTTTTTCTATTCTCTTTTATTTTTGTTCTTCTCTCTTTTTCTTTCTATAAGTTAACCCGTATTTTTATTTTTCTCTTTCTTTTCTCTGTCTATTTTCTCTTCTTCTCTTCTTCTTTCACTTTGTTTTCGTTGGAATTTTCTTTTTCTTTTTTTGGTAAACACGTACAAAAATCTTTCCTCAGTTGACCTCAGGTCAGAGTTAAGGTAACATTGAATTTTGTTTCATCTCCAAAGGTCCAATAAGTTGATTCTCTCTTTTCGGTTACTATTTTTTACTATTTTGTGATTCTGGTTCTTCACCTTCACTTGGATTATTATTTTTATTTTTGTTCTTCTTTACTTCAACTGTAAGTGTATCATTTGGATTATTTTTTTTTTCTTATTCTTCTCCTTTTCGATCACTTTTGATTAGGAATCAGTTTTATCAACAACCATCAGAATCTTGCGATGCTGATGGGTAAAAATTGTGCCGCCAGTGAAAGATGAAGAGAAGTGAAATAAACAGTCACTTCCGCGTGTTTATTTCAATTCATTTGTTGGTGATTTTTACTCTTGTTTAGATTGAGATTTTTGCTTTTCCCAATTCTAGTCAACTGTTTATCTTGTTGTACATAAGAATATATACTAATACGAATTAGTATAAGAAAAATAATAGAAGGAAACAAGAACTGAATTGAGGTGGAATAATGAAATTGTCAACTGAACAACAAGAATAATGGATCTGCGTGACAAGTTAAACTTTAGTGTGTGTGTTTATTAATCAAAGTGAATTGTTGATGATGATGATTTACCAACCATAATCAGTTGTCTCTTCATGTTCAAGTATTCAACCAACAAACTGGGTGAAACCAAGTAAAAAATTCAACTTCATTTTCCTTGTGCGCGTTTGTGTGTCTTCAACATTGTCACTCTCCATCAACAACAATATATTTTCTTGGATGATGATGATGTTGATGATGATGTGAGATCAGTACGAATGAGGCAATGAGAGAGTGAATTGTTTGATCATCTCGAGGAAAAGAAAAAATGTTTCCAATCATATGATGTTCAACATATTCTTATGCTTTTGAATGGACATCAGATTATATTAGACTTCGTAAGCCTCCAATTAAAAGGATAAAATCTTATCATTATCATCACTACCATGATGATGAGATAATGAATTGAGTAACTTTCATCATCATTTATCATCATGATTACTTTTTTCATGATTGTTCATCAACAGGGCTTCATCATTTTCTGTATGCCAACCAACTTTGTTTACATTTTTTTTCCTCTCATTTATGATCATTTCATTTACTTTTCATTGATTATCTTTGTCAATTTAATCTTTTCCTCTGTGCTAATCAAATGGGCTAATCAAATTTGACAATTTTATCAATTCCATTTAATCATCATCATCATTTTATTAAAACAATTTTTTTCTTTTCTTTTTCTCTTCAGGAATCATTTGCTATTTTATCATAACATCAACGATTTTATCACCATTGGGTTGGAAAGATTAACCATTATCATCAGTATTTCCATCATCATCATCACCATCATGTTAATAACAATTATTATCCTTTGAGAGTTGATAAAACTTCCACCGGAACCTTTTAATCAAACGGATTTTAATCATTACAATTTGATTAACTTGTCCTGTTGAACACATTGGCTCGCATTTCACCAACTTCACTCTATCGACATCAAGTTAACTGTTTCTCTGGATTATATATTTTTTTGTGAATGAAACATTTTTCATCATCTTTAATTGACATCCTCAGATTAAGTGGACAATTGTAAAGATGAATGTTAATCCGATTACCTGGAAAGATGCCTTTAGCCATAAATATGTGATATTGTGTTTAATTTGTGGTGGATCATTGCTCATTCTTGGTCTCACATTTATTGTAATCTATCTCATCTTATCAAGCTACACTTCATCACTTCATTATTTTGAAACAATACCTACATATATACCTGCAATTACGGTAATTATCATCCTCATCTTTTTCTACCTCACCTTTAAAACTCACATCGTTTTGTATATTCCAAAATATGAGATGGAGGAAAACAATTAAATCTAATTGTTTGTGTTCTCTCACTGATTGTGAATTGTATCATTTTCCATTAATAATACGAAAATCTAATAACCAATAACTGTGACTAATTAGGTTTTCCTCAATTATCATAATCATCAACATTACCTTAATTAACTTACTCGTTCAGCTTTTAAGATTTTACAATCAGACATTGTTTTTTTTTGTTGCTAACACTTTACCCTTAGGGTCTTTGTATTTGTTTACAATTAGTTGATTCACTTTGTGTACTGATTGTATTACTTTCATTTTTGTTTTGCAATTATATTCCCGCAGCAAGAAATATAAACAATTTTCAACTGTTTTAGGGAAACAATAAACTAAAACAATTTAGTTAATCGTAAATGTATTACAATTAACACTTTGATTCTGTCGTTAACAATATAAGTATCATAACTACCGGACACAATCAGGAATCAGAAAATGTTTGTTTGTGTGAACAAACAGTTAATATACCTGAGAAAATTAGATTATGATTAGTGGAGACAATTAAATTAACAATATATGAGAGTTAATATCTGAATGTAGATTGTTAATTGTCATGTTAATTATATTAGTATTTGTTGTAATACTAATAATAATTACTTACCCAATTCTTAATTATCACCATCATCATCGCTATTAGATTAACATTTAATCATCCGCTGTTTAATATACTGCAAGATAAATGATGTTAATGTAATTAATTTGAAGATAACAATTGTTTAATTGTAAAATTTAATCATTACAACACTAACCCTATTAATCTTTGTTTACAATTATAATCTAACTCTTTTTTAATCTTATTTTTCTCCAACATATTCATTGGTGGATTTGGTTAATCAACTGATCATTTTTCATCACTTGCTAATTAATCATGTTAATTATCATTAACAGCTCATCATAAATGGGATAATTGTTTGTATCTTAGCCAAACGTAATCTAAGATACTTTAATCTGGTAAATATTTAATCTAATCATTTCACCTTCTAATTGTTATCAAATTGTCTACCATTTTTTTTGCAAATATTAATACTATCTGACAATTAAGCTGATTGTCATTTGTAATTAAACAATTAACCCCCTTTTTTTGCATTCATCACAATCGGCTTGTATGATTATCTAATTGTTTGATTAACATCATCATCATCATCAGCTGACCACAAGTTACGACTTGAAATATGTATTAATCATTTTGATTGTTAATCAAATCCAAGAGTCTAGGTTAGGAAAAGTTAATTGTTACAACAGTAGTTGTGATGATAATTAAATAACAATCAGTTGGAAAAAAAATCTTCTCCATTCAAATTGTAAAGGTTAACATCTCACACAAAGTAACAGTATTTTCACTTAACAACATCATCTCTCATGATGATTATCATCTTGATTTTAAGAAAAATACAATAGCACAATCAACATGACGATAATCATAATCATCATTAACCAACAACAACTTTATTAAATTTATATATTCAATTATATACACACAAGAGAAGAGGAGAAAAAGGTTAAGACAATTTAATAACAAACTACCTTTACCTGTTAACTTTGAATCTTCTTGAACAATTAACTAATTATGTGACCCGAATAATTTTGACAATTATGATTATATAACAATTTATTTCTTTCTTCCTTATTAGATCAAAATTTCAGGAGCCTTTTGCCTGATCAGTGCTCTTATATGTGTTGTTACCACGGTTACAACAACCGTAATCCATTTGAATCGATTACAAACCCTCCAAGGATGTGAATATACATCATCTTCATCTACCTGTATTTGCATGACAGGTTCAGGGATAACAGGTTCAAATGATCCCTCGGTTCAAGGTTAGTTAATCATCACACAATTAATTTCAATTGTGTAAATAATAGTCAAAGAAATTGTTCCCATTTGATAATATTGTTTTTTTTATGAGTTTGTTTATTTCATGGATCAATTCAATTTCCAACTGAGTTTACACATGGAATCATGAAAATTTCTTTATCCAATGTCAATCATTTAATTCTTAATCAATACTTACTCGATTGTAATTTTTCTTTTTCTTCTTCTTTTACCTTGACCACCACCTACAGTTACTGGACATTCAAGTCATTATGCTTTTCAAAATATACCAAATTGTGATGCTGTTCATGGAACCCTGAATACTTGTCTTCGGGCACTTTTTGGTGTCTCTGTTTTTGGAATATTAATTTCAATTTTTACTTCTATGCTAGTCTATCAATTAATGAGCCATGAGAAGAAAAAGAAATACCTTGAACAATTGGAATCACGTCGGCGTTTCCATCAACATGCATTTAACAATCGTCGCAATCACGATCCACTTTCACCTCCGCCTTTTCCCATCCTCTCTTATCCACCGCCACACACACTTGCAGCTCAAGGATGTTCAGCGTTTATGGATGATATTTTCTATCCTGGTGGTGTAATGAATGGCGGTAGTTCTAGTGGACGAGGAGGAGGTTGGATATGGCCACCACCACCACCGCCTCCTTGGGATTTGATTGATTATCGTAGCTATTGTACACCCAGTTATGAAAGTCAAACGGCACCGGGTCCATGTTCAAGTTCCCCAGGTGAAGTGGGTCCACTTGGTGAAACAATAACTGGTCATCGGTCAGGTTTATTTTCTGACACCGGACGTAACAATGAAAGTACCACTAGTCCGGAAACCAGTTCTCAGAGGACTCTTTTCAGTTGGTTATTCAATCGTAATCGTCGACCTCGACGTCAACAGCGAAACACTTCACGGCGTTTACTTTCGAGAGATCGTAATGGTCATTCTATTGGTTCTGCTGATTGTACCGGTGCAATGGTCACCGAAAATCGTTACAACCATCGATCACCTAATCGTTATGGACCTTTACCTCCACCACACTCACCTCCACCTCCACCATTGTCACCAACTTTACCACCTCCACATCATCCACTCCTACCAGTGGGACACTTTTCTCCGCTACTTGTACCAATACATCCTTCTTATCGTTCCGTAATTAGGAATAGATCATTAGCTCGATTAAACCGACGAACTCGTTCAAACGATGCCATTTTCCACCATCTTCATAGTATGGCATATGCACACCCTCCACCTCCACCTTTCTTCAATGGTCCACCACTTTTGGGATCACCACAGTCACTTTTTGCTTCCTGGGGACCACCACCACCTTATTCACAGCCATCATCATTGGAAAACCTTGCAACTGGACAAAACAATGACCCAAACAATATTGGCGCCAATAACAACGAGTCAAATAATGGAAACAGTAGCCATGGAAATAACTCTGAAAGTAACTCTTCCCATCGAGTTAATGGTTCCAGTGGTAATCATGGTGGTCATCGTAGAAATAATCAAATTAATTCTGTTTCAAACGGTCTCAGTGGATCAGATAATTATGACAATTCATCTAAATTATCAACACCAATTTCTGAGAGACGAATGCTCTGTAATGCTTTTTCCTCTGATGGTATCACACTGACCATTGGTGGACCAGTTGGAGCTACAACTCCTTCCAAAAGTTCATGTATTGTTGAAGTCCATGTTCAAGATGATCATCACCTAAACCATGATGATGTCACCTCAGAATCAAAGACTATGACCTTTAATACTAAAGAAGATGAATTAACATCTTATCATCAACATAACAATCAACAAAATCACCAATCATATAAATCACTTTCAAGTATACCAATTAATTTATCTAACAAGCAATTTTCATCACATCAACAAGAATTGACAAGATCAATAGATACAATTATCTATGAGCAACAAAATGAATCAAATGAAAACGATAATTTTAATTGTGTTATTAATGAAAATTATCTTGGTAAAGTTGATGAAACAATGTTAACCAATATTGATTGTAAATCAACAGGAAGAACAGATTTATTTGATACAGGATCGCCTACTGATTGTTTACAATCAACTGATTTAATTTGTGTTCCCCAAGTAATGAAAACAATATCCTCATCAATTGTTATTCCTAATGTTGATTTATCATCAACATCAACTGATTCAACTTCATGTAATTTAACATCCTCAACATCATCAAGTTCTGGTTCACATAATTTATATTCATCTTCATCATTATCAAATGATTCTCAGTCAATCAGTCAACCAATTGATCAAAGTTTGAACGAAAATATCAAACTGACCTACGAACGTACAACTATGATTGCCGATAATAGGACAAATGAGACCATTGACCTTGAGGTTAACGATAATAGTAAAGTTAACCCAAAAGTAACTTCTTATACCGTTGGCACTAATGGTGAAATTAGTAGGAGCGGAAGGTCAAATTCAATAACAAAAAACTATATGGTTACCATTAACGATGATGATGTAGATAATGATGATGATTCTGGCGATTTATCTAATCAACCAAGTTCCAGTAATAATGATCAATCGTCAAAATGTTTATCATCACCAACAACAACAACTAATTCATTGTCAACATTTAACAATAAGGAAACTAATTGTCCAGAAACAGGTAGTCATCAAGGTAAAGCAGTTGGTTGTGATGAGAAAGAGATTCAAGAAATTCAATATATGCAAACCCAATCTCTACCCAATTTAAGTTATGCAGCAGCGGTTGTGGTTCCATATAAGACAATGACTAGTCCATCGCATGAAATGTCAAGCACATCCTCATCTTGCCAGGTTACACCTCAACATGGATCTAAAATTGGTTATCAACATCCCTCTTCGGGTAATACATCAACCTCCCAAGATATTGCTGATCTAGAGTTGGAATTGGATGAGGAACCATTGTGCTTTCTACCTGATTTACCCTATGATGGAACACAGAATTTAATTCTTAATCCAAATATAAATGATCAAAGTGAACAATCAATTACTCCACATTATTATGATATTAGTGCAACCAAGATTAAACCTCCAACACCATTTGCCAATTGTCCATTGACAGAATCAACTGAATCTTCATCAACCACTTCTGGTTCAAGAACAATTAGTGATGTAATTATTGCTCCTGATACAACGAAACCCATTGAAAAGCAACAATCAACTCCAACCGCTGCTGGTGATAACATAATTGTTACCATTCGTGGCATTCAAGTCTGAATTTAATTCTTGGTTTTCAGACTAAGAGCTGATCATTTATTGAGATTGAATTTCAATTCTTTTCGATCGATTTTATTTCTGTTACTTTTTCTCTTCTCCCTTTTCCGTCTTGCTGTTTTTTTCGAGACACATTGAAACCAAAATTGCCATAAAAAAAGATTCATCATCTCATACAATAGATTGAAATGGAATTTGTTGATCTGAATACCAAGAAATGGACCGAAAGCCCTTTAATTATCCATCTTCATCATCTTCACCATTTTTCTTTGCCACCTGAGCTGCGATGATTCAGTTCTCAGCTGATTTCAATATTCAGTTTGATTCCAATCATCTGATAAACTTGATTAATTTTGTGTGTGTTCCTAGTCAATAGAAGGATCAACAGGCAAAATCTTAATTTCATACGAGAAGATGAATAATTGATTAATCAGTGTCATGGATTGAATTGAAATCTCCCTGAACAATTAAACCATCAAGTAATTGGATAATCAAACAATAACTACTTAATAATTGTATGGACTCAATTATTACCTCTAGATGTTTGATATGGTTCTAGAAATATAATTTAAAACAAATAACAGTATTTTTGACACTTGACATGATCTCAATTATGAAGCAACAAAATCCAAGAGAGATGATGAACCCAATTAATCAAAAAAAACGGAGAATCGGTCTAATTAACTAACCTTCTCACCACAACCAAGATTTTGCCATAAATGACAAGAAAACTAATGAATAACGATTAATTCAAAGCGGATCTTTTTGTTTTCCTCTTCTTTTGATCTGAATTGTTAAAACATGTAACGTTACTGTAAATATACATTCAACAAATTAGAATTAACTAATGTTAATCAATTAATCTTTTAAACAACGTAAATGGAAATTTTTATTCTTCGTTCTTTCAATGTTCATCATCAATGTTAATTGATAATAATCGTGTTTTCCATCATTATTGATGATTATTGATGAACAATCGTCAACAGTTAACGGCCAAAGGTCACACACAATCTTTTAATTGTTCATCTATTTAAATTCGCATACATTAGTAGATACAAAGTAACACATTCCATTAAGAACTGAAATGAAAAATAGAATATCAAAATTTAGAATTGAACATTTCTCTCGATTATAATACTCACGATAATAGAGAAATGGTTACATATCAAGGTACCTTCGTTTAAATATAAACCAATGTTTCGATATGAAAATCGATCCAGAATTTCAAGTCTCTGAATTGAGATTGTCTTTGATTAGAAAAATAGAAATTTAGATCAGAATTAATGACGATTTTTACCTTTAACATGAATGGCACGTCTTTAGTTTTACATTTACACAGGTTGTAGGTCATGATATGGATTCTTTTCCCCTGTGAATGAAAATGAAACGAAGATAATTCATTGATTGAGTCATTATGATGAAAATGATACAAACTTTTCGAGGGATGAACGAAGCTAAAAAACAAAAGGTCGAGAAAAATGTTATACATATAATACTCGCTCCTCGAAACATCATATTTACTCCAGCATTTGAGAAATTGTGTTGCGAACCATAATAAACAATAACAACGGTAAAAAAAGATGTATAAGAGAAGTTGAATAAAGTCGGTGGATTGATTTGCCGATTAAATGAATCCAACCAATTGCTGAACTTTTGCAGTTCGAGAATGAATATTTTCTGATCTTGTAAACATAACAACCGCTTGGTAAACTCGGTCGTGAATGAAGCCACCCGACAATAAGTAAATAGCACAGTTATCAACCAATGAAACATGAACCAATTATTACTGAATGAAGAGAAGTGCATACTAAAAGTAATCATACACAATAACATTATCTGAACGAACATGGCTGCAAAATCCTTCTGCTCTGTCACGATTATCATGATATCAAGGAAACAATCGTAGAACATGAATCCATATGAATAGATGAGATAAATTCTGATTCCATTGGTGTACCATTTGCGAAAGAGATAATCATGATCGTCTGAAAGGTGGAAAACTTTTCTCGAACTTTTAACTCCTTCGACATAGTCTTTTAGTACGCTGATGAAAGGCTTGTCGACGAAATTGTTGAGCCAAATGACGTAAAAACTCATTATCATTCCTTGATAACTCGCGATGTAAATCATCACATTGATGAATGCTCGTTCTCTCAGGTTAGTGTAATTATCGCCGAGAATAAATTGTAAAGTTTTATTGTTCGTCAGGCTTAGAATCAACCACCGAGAGAGAAAAATATTATTCATAATTAGTATAAAGTAGCACATGAATCGTTGAAATTTAGAAGTCGTCGATTTGTTGATGATAAACTTTGATCTTTCGATTGATTTAAGTTTCTCAAAAGCGACAATTAAATCTTGAGGTTGACACTTTTTAACAAGTGATCTTTTCGTCGTAATATTTTCGTAGATCATTTTGATTATTGGTAACATTTTATTAATAATACTTTTAATTGTTGATAATACAATGTTCATAATCTCATCTGAACCATTTCGGTGAATATCTTAAATTGGTCTTAATATGACTTGATATCAATTCTTTGTTGGTTTTAATTGGAAACGATATTGATTTTAAATCGATGAGTTTCACAACCACGCAAATGATTAACTTTCAGTGATTCCTTTCCGTTCATTAATTGAGCTTAATTATCCAATTTCTATTAATTATAAATCGTTAATAGTAATTATTTCATTATATTTTCGATATAAAGTCCTTGACATAATCAGAACAGTCAATTTTTCTTAATTAAATCTCAGTTTCTCCTCAAAGACTAACCAAATTAACGTAATTCGTTTGACAAATAATCGATTGATGGTAAAAAGGACAAAAAGTCAAATTTAGTTTTTATCGTCATAAGATTTTGAGATTTAATAACTTTTTGATGTTATAACGTTGACGATTTATTGATTCATATGATTAAACAGAGACGATAATTGATTTAACTTGATTGTTCATCAGGTGCTTTGGTTGGTGTGGTAAACTTTTCCTGTGGAAGATCAGTCGAGTTGAATATTAGGCTGATCTGTTCAAAAGCTGATTCAGGATTAGATGAAACGTAGACAAGTCCAGTTGATCCCGTTTCGAGAGCGATTGTTTTAGCGGCCTGGTGAGATTTCCTTATACAATCAGGTCCAAAATGTTGGATCGCTATAACTGGACCACGACCAACGACTGAATTATAAGAATCAGTTCGAAATACTTGAGATGCTTCGACTTCTTTCATCATAAATTCTTTGGTTGCAACCAGCGAACACTTTAAATGAACAAAGAATTTATTTTAAGAATTAAAATCCATCGTTCTTTTCAACATCAACCACTTGTTGATCGTTATTTCTTACGATCATCTTACGATTTCGACTTACCGATTTTTCTGCCATTTCACGAATAAATGCTTTTGCTCTTTTCTCTCGATTACCATCAGGGAAAAATATAACCAAACCAGTTTCAATCGAAGGATCTGTTCGAACTCCCAAAGTTCGAGGTACGACACTTAACACGGTGTCCAGTGAAATCTCTGGTTCCTTGATGTTGAGTAAACATTCAAATACATCCTCAGGTTGGACATCCTTCATAAAAGAATATGTTATCTTATTATTATTATCAATTTCTCTCTGGACTATCTAACAGGTGGTCGTTACTTACATGGTCAAGGAGAGACCAACTCTCAACACCCTCATCTCCACCGAAATCATAAACTTGGCTCCAGGAATTGTTGAAGACCGTCAATCCTGCTAATTTGAATTGATCTAAAGGAGAGCAACAAGTAGTTATCATACATGTATGTATTTAGATGATGAGAATCTTGATCTTACCTGAAAGTTGTGAGTAGAAAAATGAATAACAGGCAACTAAGATACTTTCACAGGCTTCAATTGTTGGTTTGGTAAGACAGTGTAAAAAGAGATGAAGATTTTTACAATCTCGAGCACGAAATTGTTGACTGGCACAAATTATTCGGCAATTCGAACAATTCCGAAGGAAGATACTAAAGAGAATCAAAGTCGAAGAAAAAAATTGAGTTAAAAAAAATCGGACGGAAACGGACACAACGGAAACACTAATACAGCCACAGACTGAGTTTGCAACCACTTGTTAATAATGATGAGCGAGAGATTAAGTTAATCCAGTTATTGAATAGTAATCAAATGGCCTCTCATGTAAACATGGAATCAATTTTAATAGTGGTTTTGAATGATTGAATGATTGATTGTACACACAAAACGTAATTAAAAGGTAAAAAATTAACAAAAATGATGTTTAAATGAATTGGAAGGTCATTGGAATGAACAAATTGATTAAAACTGAATTGAAGGTGAATTTAAAAGTAAAAAGAAAATTCTGATTCCGTTTCATCAGGAATCATCATTGATGTTTCCATGAAATTTGTCACTGGTGATCCTTCATCACCGACAGTGGGTGGTGAGGATTCACTTGACTCTGTTAGGGTTAAATCTTGAACCTCATCGTCTTCAGGTGGTTGACTTGAATTGGTTGATTCTGAATCTTGTTCTGATCTTGCAAGGAAACTCCGAGCTCGGTGAAGATAATGACTAATTGATGTTTTCGATACTGTAACACCAAACATGCAGTAGATAAACTTGACCACATCACTATAAGATTTTGAAGATGAACTGTAATAGCAAAGAACCTTGGAAAGTTGATCTCTGGTCAGTTTAGAACGATTTGAATATTGTCGAGCTTTGATCACAAGAGAAAGGCCACTTTGCTCGTAGTTTTTGATGATCCGATTGATTGTGGCTCGTTTTAAATTGTACTTTTCACATAATTCATCAACTGGAACACCGCAATTGTATGATTCAATGATAGCACAGTGGTCAGATCGAGTTGTTGCTAATTTACCTTTGGTCATTTTGATGAAAAACAAGATCAACAGGTGGAAAAATCAAGAGATTCAAACACAATCAAACAAACACAGAAATGAAGCAAATTGATTAACTTTTTTAGTAAATAATTCAATTGTTAACCGTTAATCTTAATCCACCAATCAGATTTCCTTGTCTAATTTAAACTAATCTTCAAATTGTGACGTTTTTAATCAACATTGACAAACAACCTGTAATCAAAGCTTATTAGATTTGAAAGTTAACCTTTTTCAATGTAATCAAATTAAGCTACTAAAAGCTAATTGAACATTACACTGATCAATCTAAATTAATCTTGTTTTCTTAATCAATTTAGTGCAAGTAAATGTTCAATGATCACTATCAGTAAGAAAACGCAATTTAATTTATAATCAATCAATTAATCAAAATTGATTGTTGAATTTAATGATAATAGTTGATTGATTATCTAAATCAACATCATTCCGTACTTAGCATTCACCTGTTGTCATCTTTGTCATCATTATCTTCCAATGCACCTCCATTTATTGATTAATATTGTTTTGAATTGTGAATCTGAAAAGTTCTGGTTCCCTGAATAATTGAACCGACGGTGACATAAATAGATTCAGTTGACACTTTTAACTGTCTAACAAGATCAATAATTAACATTGAACATGAAATTTTAATCATTGAAAACATTGAATGAGTTAATCACTAATGAACTACCATGAAACATGAAGATTCAATAATAATTCATGAATCAGTTCATTTAGAAAAGGGAGAAAATTATTTCCTCCTCTGATTAATCTAGAAACAGAAAGAGTGAGAGTGAAGATTCAAATAGAAACAAAAACAAAGGTTATCACATAAAGATAACGGTAAAAGTTTCATGATGATTGTAATTTCCAAGTAACAATATATTTCCTCTGGTTATTATTATTATCTTATTATCCTCATGAGGTTTTTTTCTTACTTTTTTCAGGTTCATTAAGGAAGTAACTTCATGATGATGATCAAAAATGAAGGTTAAATGTGTTCATATGTCTACAACAGGTTCGAACTTTTTGTTTTTCCTTTTTCTTTCACTTCTCCTTGACCAGTATTTATAAATACTACAAGAATATTGTATTCATGACCATCATTATCATCATGATTTCCTGGGGTTCAATTCAATTTGATGGTGAAGTTTACTCTTTACTGTATAATCAAAAAATGTTGGATTGATGGATTATATTTACGATATTAAACTGTGGGAATTATAATTATGGTGAAAAAACAAGGTTAATTGTAGGAAAAAATTGTTTCACTTGAATGTTCAGGTTCCAAATTCAGAATCTTCTCTCTCACTCTCTACAATTTGTATCATTTATTTAGGTTAAAATGTTGTTGATCATCAGTTTCTATTAATAATATTAGGATATTGAAAGTGTTGTTAAAATATCAACAAATGATTATACCAAGGTGGAGGAAATTAATGATACCGATTTCGTCATGATAAAAAAGTTATGAATCTAGTCTCTTAGGTAACTTCCAATGTATCAAAAGAAAGAGTTTTTATTCTATCATGTCATTTATGTTGTTGTCATTAAATGACTAGGTGAAAATCGATGATTCAGTGAGAATCAAAATAGCTGAATTTAGTGCAAATTACTCAAGAAAACGTATAATTAGTGAATTAAAAAGAAATATCATCATGTTGGTTATTATGATAAACTGATTATAAATCTGATTCAGGCCACTTGATGATACTGATAGGATCATAATTTAGAATTATCGATGAAAAACGAAATTATGTCAAAAGGTCAAAATATCAAAAGAAGCAAGTAGTGTCACAAGAAACCCGGTCTCTCTAATGATCCCATGAGTAAATAATCATTTTCGATATGTCATGGATTATTATATCAATGTACTTTGAGTCCATTTTCGAGTCGATCTGAATTATACTGACACAAATATATTTCAACAAGACTCCAGCTTCGCACAATTTCGAAAAGACTTACAGTCATGAAATTGAAAAAATCAAATTTACCACCCCAAATGGTTAGCTAATTAGATAGTAATTGATGGATTATGCCATTTGGCCTTATGAAACGGTTACAAAGTTAATCCACGAAATTCAAAGCCTTAAAAAATGCTATAAGAGTTTGAGAAATTGCAATCAACTATTGATGCTATGATGGAAGATGTAGATGCAATGATTTGGTTCATTAAGGGTAATAATATCGAACATTTGAAATAAAAATATCGAAGTGATCAAAAGTTATACTCATTCGAATTCGGTATCATTAATTTCCTCCACCTTGGTATTATAAATATTATAATAGATGATAAATATTATTATCCCTTTGCGAGTCTCTTCAAATAATGATAAACATTTATGATATTTATTTGATAAGACACTTGATAATCATGGAGATGGTGAAAATTCATTAAGACGATGAGTGGTTTAGAGAGTCATCCACATGAATTATGGTGAATAATCAGATAAATTCATGCTGATAATCAATTTGTGATCACCAGCAATCTTATTCAGTCATTTATCTATTTCCTCTGATGACCGATTATCATGAATAATATATGATCATGATCCTAACCAGCTAACCTTTGACCTGATTCTTTCTCAATAATTTTTATTGATAATCAATACAATGAACAAATGTGAGACTTTGAAACATTTCCGCCTCCCAATCAACGATTAATCAAATGTACAACATTGAATTTAAAAATAATCAAAATGGTGAAAAAAAAAGAAAATGAACTTTTCAAGATAAAATCAAAGTCTCTCCTGAATTTCATGGTTCTTTTATTACGATAATAATAATAATCCACAAAGAAATTCAGTGAGTTCGTTTACTTTTCTCATTCTCTTTATTTTTACCAAGGAAGAGGAAATTTGATATCAACAGAGACAAAAAAGATAAATCAACAAGAATAACAGTAAATTAGAAGAGAGAAGAAGAATAAAAAAAGAATAGAAAAGAAATTATCATGTTATCATGTAAAACTAATTCCAAACTATTCACATCACATTCTCATCATGATTAACTGATAGTTTAGATGGAGAATAATTTCAAATCGAATATTTCATTTCATTCATATTCTAAAATCGAAAAACGATCAACAAAGTGGGCACGAATCCCGTCGATTGAAAAGTTCAACAGAATTATATTAATTGTAACAGGTTAATGGTCGTAAATTATTTCAACAACAATCAATATTCAGGACTGAATAATACATGCATAAGATGATGAAGAATTAGCAAGTTTGTATTACGAGAAAAGGCTTACCTTGAGTTAATAGTAATTAGAATAAGAATGTTACATTGGATGAATATTTATTTCTATTCTCCCTGAGTTTGATTACCACCATGAGTTCAGCTCTTTTTTTCCTCTTGTTCATCCACTTATCTAATCACGAACTTTATTCTTACTTTAATTGTATTTAGTTGGAAGAGAAAAGTTTTTCAATCGATTTTTCTTTCATCCCCAAAACTAAAAGGTAACCAGTTTTTACTTTCTCAGTAATGAATCATAATCATTCATGATTCATCTTGGAATCAATTATGTAATAATTATTAAAATTTTACTATTCTCATGTAATAATAATATACTTTTTCTTGTTCAGTTCAAAATTCAAATCCATTATTTGAGATTTTTTACTTATTTCAAAGTCAAAATACTTTGGTTGCATGGAGAATCAGAGTTCTAGATAATTCATGAGACTGATTTTCTAAGATATTTCTCGATAATTGAATTCATTTTTTGCATCATTTACTCTTTCGAACTCAAATATCATGATGTTCGTTTGCAATAAGAACAGGATTAAAGTATTATGTTCACTAGAATCAGAATCAAGAGACATCGATATTGCTCCTTATGAACTTGTTCTTAAAATTATCAGAATTCCTATCAATACTTGAGTAATTGGATAAAATTCATTGGCAGAAAATTTCGAATAAAGAAATAGTTAGAATTCTTTGGTCATTATTACTTTTATCTGGATCTTCATGGGGATTCAACAGTTTCTGGTTCTATTAATGCTACTCGATTGTCCTCTTTTCCATTTGGACACATTTCGATTCTAACTTTTGGAGTATTTGTATTACATAATATGAAGGAAGAGGAAAAAAAATTACCATGTG